TAACGTTAAAACTCAATATGACAATATATGATTCATATAATAAAAAAAGTGTTGTTTTTAGTCTTTATAAAGAAGTTAGTGGTCCCTTTGGTGATTCCTTAATTTGTCTTCAAACTTTCAATGAGAAGAGCTGTGTTGCAGTGGCTTGCATTCAGCCATTGGCAGAGTTTTTTTTTTTTTCTTTTTTTCCTAATTTTTTCAAAGTTAATTAATTGAAAGAAGTTGACACTGGAACAGTGGGACTAGATACTAGAGAACTAACATAGAAGACATAAGAGTTGGTTTTTTCTTTTTCTTTTTTTTTTTCTACAAAATTCAATGGTGGGCCTTAAAATGAGTGGCTTTTAAATAATAATAAATAATTAAATTGTTAAAATGAATAATTGATTATATAGATTATGTTTGGACTCTTAAAATAACTCATTATTATTGTATCTTTTTTTATTTTATGTATTTTAATAATTAAAAATATAATATTTGAAATTTTAATAATAATAATTAATAAATTAATTATATACAAATTTTTTTTTTCAAATCCCAGGCGAGGCATCGCCCCCTGGTCTCTATGTGGCTCCGCCACTGCTGAAGATAGTTGATGATCAATAACTAATCATGGTGGTCTTTTAACCTTTTCCCTACTTCAAGAATTTGGGAATAAATTAATCTTATTTTTATCCTAAAATAATAATATGATTTTGTTAAATTAAAGATTTAAAGATAATATTTATATTTATCTATAATATTTTAAAAAAGGCAAAATTTTTTTTTTGTAATTTGGTAATTAATTAAAATAATTGGATAATCAAATGGTTAAATAGAAAAAAATTAAATATTTACCTTTAAAAAATGGCAAAAAGACAATTAATTTGCAATAAATTTAAAGTAAAAAAATACAATTATTTTGAGACAAATGAGTAATAATGAGATAGATAATTAAAATCAACGAATAATAATAAATTTTTGTCTTTTTAAAATATTACTTCATCTATCTCCAAATAATTGTTTTTTTTTTTTTTACTTTTTTCTTAAATTAAGGATTCAGAGATAATAATTGTTTTAATCTATAATACTCCTAGAAAAGAAGTAAAAGATAATGAGAGATTTTTTTATAGTTAAATAATTAATTAAAGTGAATGGATAATGATATGGTTAAAGTAGTAAAAAATATTTATCTACCTTAAAAAAAAAGATAATTAATTTAGAATAAATTTACAGCAAAAAAATGACAATTATTTTAAAAGGAAATGAGTAATAAACAACAATTAATCTACACCGCTGTTTGTTAACTTTCTACGTTCTAAACTTTCTCCAAAATGCAAGCTAAGCAACATTGGATGGAACGTCGATATCACTTGTGTGTTTAAAAAGAGGGCTAATATATCCAAATCACTGAGTTAAAAGGTTAATTTTGCTAGCAAAAAGAGTTAAGGGACTGATTTTCCATAACAATAAAAGTTTAAGGACTTATTTTTACATGATTTGGCTTTTTCTTGGATATCATGGGTATCCATATGATCTAACTAGTCTCACCACTACAACAAAAGCCAAGGAAATCTCCACTAAAAAATGGTAGACATATCTTGTTGGAATTATTTGTACTTAAATATTAATAAAAGAATTTAAATCTACAATTTTTAAAATAATTTACATAATTACTTATCACTTAAACTAATTATAGTTGTTCTATACTTTCTATGACATATAACTTGAATTATAGTATCTAACTTCAAAAGGATCAAATGTTCATGGAATTTATGAATCTAACTAGTCTCACCTCTATACAACAAAAACTAGGTAAATTCCCTCTAAAAATGGTAAACATAAGCTGTTGAAATTATTTATACTTAAATATTAATAAAAATTTTAAATCTGCAATTTTTGGTATAATTCACATCATTACTTACCACTTAAAACTAATTTTAGATGTTCTATACTTTCCATGATGTATAATTCAAATTACAGTCTTTAATTTAAAAAACAAAAATCAAATGTTCATAGAATTTATGGAAATTGATTAAACTCAAGTTGTAATGTGGATTAAGATCACTATTTCAGTCTTATCGAACTGACTCAGACTATCCAATCCTCTCACGTGCATATATACCTTCTCGTCCAATGTTTATGGAGATAACGTGCAAGGCATCTTTCACAATCCCCCAATTTCATAAAGTACTGTTTTCTTAACTGGAAAGGAAATGGATTCCCACAACTTAAGTTCTGAAAATTTACACTTTTTTAACCCAGTACGAATTGTTTCATTAATCTAGATCCTCTAGTTCAATTTCAACCAAAAAAAAAAAAAAATCAGATTAATAAAAGAACCATTTCCCTTTTTACAGGGTTTAGATGAATTAAATTGTATGGGTTTAATGTAAACACTCATAAAGTGTGAGCCCTTGAATGATAGTTTTACTTGTTTAGACAAAATAAATGATATTTTTGCTCTTTATATACGGGGTTTTTTCTTCACTTACTAATACAAAGTACTACTTACCAATTGCTAAGTTCACCCTTATATCAATTATTTTTCTTCCCCTCTTCTAAATCCCCATTTTGATTTGTTCTAGAAATGGAGCTCGATGTGAAATTGAGGCACACAAGCAAGGAATTTCTCCAAGTAGAATCACCAGTGGTGGAAGGAATTACATACCAAGATCCCAAGGCCAAAAGTAAAGATGACATTGTCGTCCATTCTTCTTCATTTTCTGCAGCCTTCAATCCCAAAAATACCGATGAAACTGCTGAAAGTAGCAGTGACAACAAGGTCAAACGGGCAGAGGAGTCACTCAGGACAGTGATGTACTTAAGCTGCTGGGGTCCCAATTGATGTTACAAGAATTTTCAGATCTGCGGGTGGGTGTTTTCCACAAGTCTTTGTAAGGCAACTAGAAGCACTTTAATATGCATGTTTTCTTCCTCCCTCTTTTCATGTGTTATGGAACTTTCATAAGATTATTGTAACTTCCTTTATTACTATTTATCATTAATTTCTTTTTCTCTTCCATGCTGGGAAGATGAACATGATTTGTGAAAATTTAATATGAGGCTAAAACACAAGATGGAATAAGATGGAATAAGATGGAATAGGTAGATTTGTTTTTCTTATATTTAAATCACACATGTTCTTTCTTTTTCTTTTTCTTTTTTATATTAAATTTTATTACTTAATAAGCCCTCCTCACATGCATATATACGAAGATGGATGCTTCTGACAATAAAGAAAAGGATCATGCATCATAACATTTTCTCTTATTTAATAATAGTCCATATTTCTAAAATAATTGTCTCTATTTCTTTTTTTTTTCTCAAAATTAAAAATTTAGAGGCAATTTATATATTTAATTATATTACTCTTAAAAATAAAGAGATACCTTTGATGATGAATGATTAATTAAAGTGAATAAATTTAATGATAATGTTAAAATAGAAATAATATTTATTTATTTTAAAAAATTAAAAAAAAATAATAATTAATTTAGAATAAATTTAAAATAAAAAATAACAGTTATTTTAAGATAGAAGGAACAATAATTTTAATTTAACATTTTTAACTTTTAAGATAAATTTTATAAAAATAATACAATTATGATGCCTACGACTCTCCCTGCATTGGAATTGGCCAATACAATGGGTGTAGTCCAAGATAGTGGAGAAAAGGTATAAATAAAGATATTAATTTTTTTTTTTTCAATTTAAAAATGTTAACTTTATCAATTTTTAAATAATTACATTAACTTTCAATTTTTTCTACTTAAAAATATCAATTTTTTCTATTTAAAAATATCAATTTTTAATTTTTTCTAGTTAACGATACTAACTTTCAACATTCATATTTGTTTGCCACCTTAGCATCATCATCTAGTTAATCCTTAAATAGAAAAAATTTAAAAGTTAGTATCTTTAAATAGAAAAAATTGAAAGTTAATATCTTTATTTAGAAACTAACAAAATTGGTATTTTTAAATAAAAAAAAGTACAAAATTAGCATCCTCATTCACACCTATTTCTCCAAGATAGTGATAAGAAAATTTCAATTGGCAACCTATCCATGTGTCACATAACTCTCTTAACACATTTATGGTGTGTTGTGATATTTAGAGACTATTTGTATTTAATTGTGTACACCTTTCATGGGCATTATCTCTTTGTATTGAATCCATATGTCTTTCTAGCCTTATATATTTCGTTGTTAGAATATACGGCAAGGGCATAGATACATGATTTTTTGTTTCAATAATACTATGTTTTCGATTAAGAAAAAAATTATTGTTATAATATCATGTGATTTATAAATATATAATTATAATGTGTT